CACCTCGGAGGTGCCTTCCCCCTTTAGGACTCTTTCTTTCCCTTATCTCTTGGCGCATGGGCCTCTTGGGGCTGGTGCCCTTGGCCCATATAGGCCAAGGCGCACACCCCTACAGCCCATGTGGCCCCCCGGGGCAGGTGGACCCCCTTGGTGGACTCCCGGACCCCTTTCGGCACTCCCGGTACAATACCAATAATGCGCGAAACTTTTCCGGCGACCAAAACAAGACTTCCCATATATAAATCTTTACCTCCGGACCATTCCGGAACTCCTCGTGACGTCCGGGATCTCATCCGGGACTCCGAACAACTTTCGGGTTACCGCATACTAATATCTCTATAACCCTAGCGTCACTGAACCTTAAGTGTGTAGACCCTACGGGTTCGGGAGACACGTAGACATGACTGAGACGACTCTCCGGCCAATAACCAACAGCAGGATCTGGATACCCATGTTGGCTCCCACATGCTCCACGATGATCTCATCAGATGAACCACGATGTCGAGGATTCAATCAATCCCGTAAACAATTCCCTTTGTCTAGCGGTACGATACTTGCCCGAGATTCGATCGTCGGTATCCCGATACCTTGTTCAATCTCGTTACCAGCAAGTCTCTTTACTCGTTCTGTAACACATCATCCCGTGATCAACTCCTTGATCACATTGTGCACATTATGATGATGTCCTACCGAGTGGGCCCAGAGATACCTCTCCGTCACACGGAGTGACAAATCCCAGTCTCGATTCGTGCCAACCCAATAGACACTTTCGGAGATACCCGTAGTGCACCTTTATAGTCACCCAGTTACGTTGTGATGTTTGGCACACCCAAAGTATTCCTACAGTATCCGGGAGTTGCACAATCTCATGGTCTAAGGAAATGATACTTGACATTAGAAAAGCTTTAGCGAACGAACTACACGATCCTTGTGCTAGGCTTAGGATTGGGTCTTGTCCATCACATCATTCTCCTAATGATGTGATCCCGTTATCAACGACATCCAATGTCCATGGTCAGGAAACCGTAACCATCTATTGATTAACGAGCTAGTCAACTAGAGGCTTACTAGGGACATGGTGTTGTCTATGTATCCACACATGTATCTGAGTTTCCTATCAATACAATTCTAGCATGGATAATAAATGATTATCATGAACAAGGAAATATAATAATAACCAATTTATTATTGCCTCTAGGGCATATTTCCAACAAAGGTGTGTAACTGTGGAGGGGGGCACCACACATGGCTAAGAGAAGACTTGGTGTGTCTTTGGGGTGCCCCCTCCCACGTATATAAAGGGGGAGGAGAGGAGGCCATCCATAGGGGGCGCACGCCATAGGGGAGTCCAACTAGGATTCCCAATCCTAGTTGGAGTCCCCTTCCTTTCCAAGAGAGGGAGAAAGAGGGAAGGAGGAAGAGGGGAGAAGGAAAGAGGGGACGCCGCCCCCCTCCCTAGTCCAATTTGGACTAGCCAGTGGGGTCACGGCCTCCCTTGTGGCCCTTCTCTCCTTTCCACTTAGGCCCATGAAGGCCCATGAACTTCCTGGGGGGGTCCGGTAACCCCTGGTACTCTGAAACGACCCAAACCATTCCGGTGTCCGAATGTAACCTTCCAATATATGAATCTTTACCTCTCGGCCATTTCAGGACTCCTCATCATGTCTATGATCTCATCCGGGACTCCAAACAAACTTCGGTTCATCAAATCACATAACTCATAATACAAATCATCATCGAACGTTAAGCGTGCGGACCCTACGGGTTCAAGAACTATGTAGACCTAAGCTGTCATTTCTCTTGGATGCCCCAAATCACATAACTCATAATACAAATCATTATCAAACGTTAAGCGTGCCCCAAACTTCTAACTCATAACCAATAGCGGAACCTGGATGCTCATATTGGCTCCTACATATTCTACGAAGATCTTTATCAGTCAAACTGCATAACAACATACGTTGTTCCCTTTGTCATCGGTATGTTACTTGCCTGAGATTCAGTCGTCAGTATCATCATACCTAGTTCAATCTCGTTACCAGCAAGTCTCTTTACTCGTTCCGTAATGCATCATCCTATCACTAACTCTTTAGACACTTTGCTTGCAAGGCTCATAGTGATGTGTATTACCGAGAGGGCCCAGAGATACCTCTCTGATACACAGAGTGACAAATCCTAATCTCGATCTATGCCAACTCAACAAACACCATTGGAGACACCTGTGGAGCATCTTTGTAATCACCTAGTTACATTGTAACGTTTGATAGCACACAAGGTGTTCCTCCGGTATTCGGGAGTTGCATAATCTCTTAGTCTGAGGAACATGTATAAGTCATAAAGAAAGCAATAGCAGAAAAACTAAACGATCATTATTCTAAGCTCACAGATGGGTCTTGTCCATCACATCATTCTCTAACGATGTGATCCCGCTCATCAAATGACAACACATGTCTATGGTCAGGAAACTTAACCATCTTTGATTAATGAGCTAGTCTAGTAAAGGCATACTAGGGACACTCTGTTTGTCTGTGTATTCACACATGTACTAAGTTTCCGGTTAATACAATTCTATCATGAATAATAAATATTTATCATGATATAAGGAAATATAAATAACAACTTTATTATTGCCTCTAGGGCATATTTCCTTCATTATCATGGTCGAAGGAACCATTGAGGATATCAAGAACGTCAAGTTCCTCCTTCTCTGCTTCCAGGAGATGTCGGGCCTCAAGATCAATTTCGCGAAGAGTGAGGTCATGGTGATGGGCTATTCTAGTAGTTAGAGCCAGAGTATCGCCAACCGACTTAACTGTCGGTTTGGCACTTTCCCCACGACCTACCTGGGGATCCCCATTGGTGACTCTCGGCTCTTCGTCGCGGACCTGAGACCCGCAGTGGGAAAATTCCGTCACCGCATTGAGCCCTGGCAGGGTAGATGGTTGTCTAAGGCGGCTCGAACGATCCTCATTAACTCGTCCCTATCCATCCTTCTCATGTTCATCATGAGCTTCTACAGCCTCCCTGAGACGCTCCACCATGAGATCGGCACGGTCCAGGCAAGATTCTTATGGGCAGGCGAGGGGGATGGGCATAAATACCACATGGTGCGGTGGACCAAAATCTGCAAGCCAAAGTAGCAGGGCAGTCTTGGCATCATGTCCTCCAAGTGGATGAACATCGCGCTCCTGACTCGTTGGCTTTGGTGCATCGCCAATGGGGACGGCGGCCTCTGGCTCCACATCATCCGGAATAAATACCTCTATGGCCAGCCCCTTGCTTTCTGCCAGCGGTTCGGAGGCTCTCAGTTTTGGCAGTCCGTCATCCAGCTTATGGCTGTGCTCCGCATAGGGACCTCCATCTCGGTTGGTTCTGGCACGGACACCCTATTCTGGTTCGATAGGTGGGCTGGCGACTCCCCCTTTGCGGCCCGCTTCCCGGACCTATTCTCCATTGCGGTGGACCCTCGGGTCTCAGTTGAGGCGGCCCTTATTCACTAAGGGTGTCTCGCGTTCCGGCGCCCCTTTGGTCCCCCGGAGATAGCTGCATGGCATGAACTCTTAGACATTATCGCGCTCAACGAACCAGACCTGACGTCGCCACTCGACCGCATATCTTGGCACCTAGAGGCTTCTGGCCAATTCTCCATGAAGTCCCTCTACCGCACCATTGTCGCCACACCCGTGCCTGCCCCCCTGGAGGCGGTCTGGCCGGTCAGACTCCCCCTGAAGATTAGGATCTTCCTGTGGCAATAGATTCGAGGGCATGTCCCCTCAGGCGTGGAGGTGCGAAAGCGCAATGGCCCCGGGGACGGATTGTATCCTCTCCGTGGGACCGAAGTAGATTCCAACCACATCTTCTTCTCGTGTGTCTCTGCCCAGTTTCTCTGGAGTTGCCTGTGCGAGGTGATCGGTGGTAGATGGTGCAATACAAACTTCTCGAACCTCTTCGTGGAGCTCCAGGCCTCGCGCCCAGCGAGTCGTCACATTAGGTGGTTGACCATCGGGGTCCTGGCGTGGACGGTCCGCAATAAGCTTGTCATCAGTGTATTCCTCTTCGACGTGCTACTGACAAGGTGTTCAAAATGTGTGGTTTCTTGCAGCTCTGGTGGCCTCTTAGCCGCCCCCAGGATCGGGACGCCATTACCTCCATCATTGTTGATCTCCATGCGGTGGCCCTGTGCTTAACGCCGCCGCTTCCTCCACCACCTTCAGAGCCTGATTAGATTCTTCGTGGCTTGGCCACCCCTTTTTTATTCTCTCTTTTAGGGCTTATTGAGTTGTGCCCTCAGCGTAACCCTCCTTTGTACTATTTGTCGTGAGACCTGGGTATGGTGTGCGTGTTCTGTTGTGATACTTTGTGGCTTTGATGGTTTGCTTTATTTACAAAGCAGGATGAAAGTCTTTTTGGTATGAGCACGTACTTCTACCAAAGAGCGAAAACGGAGACACCAGTGAAGGGAGGAGCGAGCACTCGCCCATGAGATGTCCGGCCTCTTCTCCTTCTTGTGTGATCCGTGGCGATGGCCGCCGGTTGCCGCTTCGACTGGTCACCACGTCGCTGGAAGAGGCGCGCGTAGCAGTTGCCGCTTTGACCGGTCACCGCACCGCTGGAAGAGGCGCGCGGTGATCACCACGCCCTGGACGCGGCCACTGCGCCGCAGGACACGCCTCCGGTGGCGCTCACCACGCTCCTGGTGACGGCCTTGGCGCCGCTGAATTTTTTTGAATTTACTCTATGGTGTAGGGGTATCCGGGAGCTGAAATACCGTTCTCAGTGTTTGAAAGGCATTACACACTCTTGACTGATTCCGTGAGATCGATCATTGTCGCGTCCGAGAAGAGATCCGATCCATCTGGAAACCTGAGTAGTACATCGAGTCGGTCTCTTGTTGCCTTGTCTGGCCCTTTACATACCGGAGCACCCAGGTGGCCTGAACCAAATCGATCCAAGCTTACGATCAAGATCAAGAGTCGACGAGATCCAAGCAAGCAGGAACCATGGCTTCGACGGCGGCGGACGCAGGCAGCAACGGCGAGGTGGTTGCCGTGGGCGACAAGAGCAACAAGATGTTCACGCTGATCAGCTCCGACGGCGAGAGCTTCGAGGTCACGGAGGAGGTGGGCAAGATGTCGCAGACCATCAAACACATGATCGAGGACGGCTGCGCCGACAACGGGATCCCCCTCCCCAACGTCCCCGCCAAGACCCTCAGCAAGGTCATCGAGTACTGCAACAAGCACGTCGTCGCTGCCGCTGCCGCTGCCGACGACGACAACAACAACGCCAGCGCCGGCGCGAAGGAGGACCTGAAGAGCTTCGACGCCAAGTTCATCGCCGTGGACCAGGCGACGCTGTTCGACCTCATCCTCGCCGCCAACTACCTGGACGTCAAGGGGCTCCTGGACCTGAGTTGCCAGACGGCGGCTGACATGGTCAAGGGCCAGCCGGTCGAGGGCATACGCAAGATGTTCAACCTCGAGAACGACTTCACGCCGGAGGAAGAGGCGGAGATCAGAAGGGAGAACCCCTGGGCGTTTGATCTTTGAAGCTGTATAAGATTTCGTAGGTTTTCTTGCTTATGAATTAGTAATGGATGATTAGGCTGGTTTGTTTACTTGGTGGTTTGGAGCGGTGAAAAACTATACTCCTATCTACTAATAGTGTACTCCTTACTATATTTATTAAAGGGACATTTACATCTATGCCCTTAACTCGAACCCACTACTCAGTTTTGCCCCTAATTTTTAGGTATGCTCAGTTTTGCCCCTCCGCCGTTAGTGTCACTTATAGAAATGCCCTTTTGCGACGTTACCGTCTGGTCAAAGAACTTTGACCACCCAGAAAAAAATAGCAAAAAAAATCAAAAAAATCTGAATTTTTGTGGGATCGAAGATAGTCATGTCCGCAAGGCGCGTGCAAATTTGTGTGCCGTTCGGACACCCTGAGAGCTCGTGGCAAAGGAAATCATAAATTTTGTACGCATGTGAACAATAAATTCGAAAAAGTAGAAAAAAATTCAAAAAAATATGAAATTTTGGGGAACTGAAGATACTTAAGTGCACAAGATGTGTGCACATTTTTGTTGTGTTTGGACATCGTAGGAGCTCGCGGAGAAAAAAATAAAGTTTAGCTCCTACGAGCTCGTACGGGCTCATACGATGTCCAAGCACAACAAAAATGTGCACACACCTTGTGCACCTAAGTATCTTCAGTTCCCCAAAATTTCATATTTTTTTGAATTTTTTTTCTATTTTTTCGAATTTATTGTTCACATGCATACAAAATTTATGATTTCCTTTGCCACGAGCTCTCAGGGTGTCCGAACGGCACACAAATTTGCACGCGCCTTGCGGACATGACTATCTTCGATCCCACAAAATTTCAGATTTTTTTGATTTTTTTTGCTATTTTTTTCTGGGTGGTCAAAGTCCTTTGACCGGACGGTAACGGCGTAAAAGGGCATTTCTATAAGTGACACTAACGGTGGAGGGGCAAAACTGAGCATACCTAAAAATTAGGGACAAAATTGAGTAGTGGGTTCGAGTTAGGGGCAGAACTGGAATTGGCCCTTTATTAAAATAGTGTACTACCTCTGTTTTACCCTAAAATCTAAAAAGTGCACGCGCACTATTTAAAAAGAACGGGCGGCCGGCTTCTGGCCGCTCTTCTTTTGGTTGCATTGACTAAAACATGCACTTCTACATGATATCGAAGCCAAGAGATATTGAGTTCAAGACCCGGCTGGCGCAATTAAATTGCAGTCCACTTTCGGTCCATATTTAGGCCTGAGAGAGCCACACATAAGGGGGGAAGTGTTGACGTATAATGTGTTGCCTAGTCTCTTTTATGAGATCGGTCTTTTGGTTGCATTAGTTAGAGCGGTGAGGTGTGATTCCGACAGACAAGGTTTGGATCGGCGGCCGAGTGGCGAGGAGGGGAGGTCTTCCGACCATGTGGCAGCTGGCCAAGTGCGCATTGATAGTTTAGAAGTGCATGCGAGGAAGGGAACAGGCGTTTATTTTTGGCCGGCCGCTCGCGAGCGCTAGTCAGCCACCGACCGCCGGCTAGACGCGCCCTAGTAATAAAGGGACTACCGCTTCCATCACTAAAATTGCCCCGTAGTTGTCAATAATTACGCCTCATGACATGGGTAAGTGAAGAAAACGATTCGTTTTTATTTCAAAATCGCCGCTAGATTCTGTTATAATATAATGATACACTCAAGTAACACGAGCACATAAGCAGCGCGATGGATGAGGCAGCAGTCCTCCACACGGGAGATCGGGTTTTGATCCCTGGTTCTGCTCCCTTTTCTCCCCTTTTTCCCTTCTAGCATGTGGTAATGTGCGGGACATGGCGCCCCTGTTTTCTATTTCAATTTTTGCTTTTTATTTACTTTCTAATTTTTTTTGTTTTTTCTTCTCTAATTTAATCCAGGATTTCCAAAAGAACTAAATTACAAAAAGTTTTGAGTTTTCTAAAAAATATTGAGAAATCATAATTGTTTGTGAATTCAAAAACATTCAGAAAATCATAAAATGTTCATGATTTCAACAAATTGTTCATATATTATAAACAAATTCACAATTCCAAATAAATGTTCATGATATATAAAAATGTTCATGATTTAAAAAATGATCCAATATTCAAAAAATATTCGGGAATTTGAACAATTTTTTATAGAAAATGTTCATAAAAATTAAAACAAATCCATAAAATAATGAACAAAACAAATTGTCGCTTACGTTGAGGTTTTATTAGGGAATCTGTGGAGGTTGTTTTATGATTTTATTTAGTCCCTCAAGTCGGGTAAAAAAAAGGTTTCATGTTTTATACAACGTTGAGCCCCCAAAAAATTGACACAACTTCCTATAGGTTAGTTTTTGTAAACTACTCCTTCCGTTTCGAATTACTTGTCTTAGATTTGTCTAGATACAGAGGTATCTAGCACTAAAATGAGTCTAGATACATCCGTATCTAGACAAATTCAAGACAAGTAATTCAGAACGGAGGGAGTATATGAAAATGACTAAATGTCTATTTCGCCTCCATATACATCTATGTTAACTCTGGTACCACAGTACTGGTTGCGGTAAACACCGCTATGCTAGGTTAAGGCGAGATACATCATTCATCAGTCTAGCTCAAGCAGGGTTCATCAATGCAATTTGCTCAGCCAAAACATATTTCGTTGTGGCGCCTTAGGAAATCAAGTCGTGATGAGACCAACACATTTTTAGTTTTTGAAATGAATTTATAAACCCTTATATCATCATGGGATCACTCAGACATACTTTGTGAAATGACATTTTAAAAGTCCTTACCTCACCCTTGCATTTGATTCAGACCTTTTTAAATCTACCGCGGCTGCATAATCTGATAGTTTTTCTCCCATTGCAACGACAGGCATATTTGCTAGTAATATTAACGTAAAAAATGCTCTTATACTATGGGGCGGAGGAAGTAGAATATAAGATGCATCAATTTTCGTAAAAGTCAAATATAAGTATTTTTGATCAATATTATAGAATAAAATATGAATATCTACAATATAAAATTAATAAAATTCAATTTTTCATGACAAGTCTAATGATACTGATTGGATATAGTATCTATGAGATATTCAAGGCGGAATTAATACTTGCTTTTTTATTTGTTTGGGTAACATTATCCCGTCGCTTTTTGAAGCAAATAGTGTAGTTAAGAAATCATTTTCACACCAGACAATCGGCGACAAACAATTAACTCTTTTTTTGCGGGTGACAAACAAATAACTAGCTCAATATGTGTGTTTCAATCACACACCTTTGTTAAACCATGCGCCCCACGAAGATTATTTTTTTTGTGGGTAACCCCCACGAAGATATTGCATAAATGTTTATCCAAACCAACGTATAAGTGGGTGTGCTGGTGGTGTGTGTTTCATTACCCTATAGGTTGACGGCAGGGTCAGCGTTGGTGTAGGAAAATAATAAGCAACCCTTTTTTCTAAGTTGAAGCAAAACTTAAGGTACACTACATGTGTTTATCAATAGGTGTATCCTAATTTTAAATTTCTATCCATCCTCTACTTGATTTTTTTTTCATAATTTGTTAAAACTTACTAAGATGATTTTCGTTAAGTTTCAAAATTTGGATTGCATACGTAGCGGTTCTGAAAATCCACTCTATGAGATATTGCCACCATCTCATGGCATGCATCTCCACCGCACGTTTGTGCGCCTTTTAAGCGTATAATTTTCTGCAATGCAATGCAGAATACTTTTTTTTGAACAATCACAGAGGGGGAGAGGATCCCCACCTGAATGCACTGCTCAAGGTGCCATCGTGGCAAGTTGTTACAGAGATGCGCTAGAGCGTGAGGCAAGGTAATGCCGCCAAGACACAGCGGCAGCCTTCTGAGCATGCTTAGTAAATCTAAAACACCACTAAAGAGTGAAATCTGCTACAATGTTTCTGACAGTGAGGGAGGGGGATGGAGATCATTCCAGAAAGTGGCGGCGTTCCACGAGTCCGCAGCTTCCAAAGAATGGTGATGGCGACATCCGGCCAAATATTCGCATCAAGACCGGAGGGGGTCTTGACATCCCAAATGTCAAAGATAGTGGAGGCGGCTGAAGGCCGAGCAGGAGCCGAACTTGGGCAGCGGCAGGACAGGTGAGGAAGATGTGGGAGGATGTTTTTGTTGTAGAGGTTGGCCTTGGAGTTCAAACGGTCCTGGCATTGGGGCAGACGGTCGAGTTAAGGATGTTTTTGTTGTAGAGGTTGGTCTTGGAGTTCAACCTGTCCTTGAGAAGTAGCCATCCCAAGATCCTGAGCTTGATGGGGGCGTTGGTGTTCCAGATGGTGATGGAGTGCTGATCGAGGTCCTCCTCATGGTCATGGGTGAGGTCATACGCATGTTTGGTGGAGAAGCCAACGCCCCTAGATTTGATAGATGACCCAGGCCAAACCCACAATTTTGAATGATAAACATAGGAATCTTAGATCTGTCCTACAGAACATGACCAACGTCATAACTTTATGCCAACAAAACTGTCAGCTAAAACTTCATTCACCTATCATCAAATGCATGTTTCTTCCGTAAAGAAAAAAAAGAATCATCAAATGCATATTCCAATTTAGTGACAAAGCAAAAGAGAGAATAAAAGAGACATGTTTAACAGGTATACAGGTCATGCACTCAAGTGGAACCCTGACAATATCAGGATAAGGATAAAAACAAGGAATTCACAGCAAGCCAGCAAGTACGTGGTATAAGCGTCTTTTTAACCCATATAAGACGTAGCAAGTTTGGGAGGAAATCTGTAGCATTTGTCCCCTTTGTACAGAGCTGCAACTTTACAACGTTGTCAAGAGATGAGGGAGAAACACATGTTCGACGGCCTGTCTTACAAACATGTAGAGGGAAAAATCCTGGATGGTGCTACAAACATGCCAAGTAATCAGTGTATTTTCCACCGAGTTCAACACGGCCTCTGGAATTCATGAGTTCTCCATGAAAGAATTCAACACGAACTCACCGAGCCGTAACCATATTTCCTTC